GACTCAGCTGCAATTCTCGGAGATTCCGGTTACTATGTTGATCTCGTCTCCTCGTGGTGATTCTGATGAAGAGAAGAAAGAAGAGACTTTGAAACCAAAGTTGAAGCCTTTACATTGGGATAAAGTTAGAGCTAGCTCAAGCCGTGTTATGGTGTGGGACCAAATCAAATCAAATTCATTTCAGTAAGTTTAACGAATTTGAAATCATGAATTCGTTCACTTCTGTGTGAAACTTGACTAAGACATGTTTGCTTGTGGCTTTTGTAGATTGAATGAAGAAATGATAGAGACATTGTTTAGGGCGAATGATCCAAGTTCAAGAACAAGAGATGCTGGAAATTCAAGTGTTGTTCAATCTGTGAATCAAGAGAATCGGTTTCTTGATCCAAGAAAGTCTCATAACATTGCGATTTTGCTAAGAGCTCTTAATGTAACTGTCGATGAAGTATGCGAAGCTCTCGTGGAAGGTAAATAACTCCCTCTCAATGTCGAATGTCGGATACGTTCCTTTGGCTTTGATGTTTCATCAAATTGGTCTGAGATTCTTGAAGCTTGTATGGACTGATTTAGCTTTATTGGAAAAAGGATGTCTAAACGTTTTCTTGTTCATGAATCAGGCAATTCGGATACGTTAGGACCTGAGCTTCTTGAATGCTTGCTTAAGATGGCTCCTACTAAAGAAGAAGAGGACAAGCTTGAGGAGCTTAAAGATGATGATGATGAATCTCCTTCCAAGTTAGGTCCTGCGGAAAAATTCCTCAAAGCATTGTTGAACATTCCGTTCGCCTTCAAGAGGATCGATGCAATGGTTTACATAGTCAATTTTGAATCAGAAACCGAGTACCTTAAAAGATCATTCGACACCCTCGAGGTAAAACTCTACTTGTCTTCGATATGTGTATTCTATTTTTGTGCTAGAAAACTGAACATTCATATGCATTTGATCAAATTTTGCAGGCTGCTTGTGGAGAGTTAAAGAACACTCGAATGTTCTTGAAGCTTTTAGAAGCGGTGCTCAAGACCGGGAACCGGATGAATATCGGGACTAATAGAGGTGATGCGCACGCATTCAAGCTCGACACACTATTAAAACTGGTGGATATCAAAGGCGCGGATGGCAAAACCACCTTATTGCATTTTGTGGTTCAAGAGATCATAAAATCCGAAGGAGCTCGGGTTTCTTCTACTCCGACTCAAAGCCCTACAGGCGATAACATAGCCGAGTTCCAAGACGATCTTGAGCTTAAGAAACTCGGGTTGCAAGTGGTTTCAGGTCTTAGCTCTCAGTTGATAAACGTCAAGAAAGCAGCTGCAATGGATTCAAATTCCCTTAGCAAAGAAACAGCGGAATTTGCAAGCGGAATAACGAAAGTCAAGGAAGTAATCGCGGAGCTAAATCAAGAAACCGGTGCAGAGAGATTCTTAGACTCAATGAACATGTTCTTGAACAAAGCTGAGAAAGAGATCACAATGATACAATCCCATGGAAGCAATGTCATGAAGATGGTTAAAGAAGTAACAGAGTATTTCCACGAGAATTCGGAATCTCATCCTTTTCGCATTTTCGCAGTGGTCAGAGACTTTCTGACGATTCTTGATCAAGTATGTAAAGAAGTTGGTCGTGTAAACGAGAGAACAGTGTACGGTTCTGTACCACGACCTTCACCGTCGAACCAGACCGTCACGACGCTGTTTCCGGTTGTTAACAATAACAACAACTCACGGCTGAGTCACTCTGGTTCTCTAGACAACGACGACGATGACTCGTTCTAAGTGAAAACGATTAGTTCGGTGTTGCTTTTGTTTCATTTGTTGTGTTATCAAGAAACATGTTATATGTATTTAAATATGTATTGATAGGTGAGAATTTATAAGGAAAGTTATTAGATTTTGGAAATAATTTTGGCAGATTGTGGAAGTCGCTATCGAGCTCTGTACGTGCCACTGCGATATTGTGAATTATTTATGTCTCGTGGACATGTATTTATTGACAAAAAAAAAAAAAAATTGAAATAGAATGCTTTTTTTTTTTTGTTTTGAGAAAAGAACAAAACTCTTTCTTGTAAGTTTTACCCAAAGTCTTGTGAAATTTTCAAGACATTGATAAATTATATACACTAATTGTTTTTGTATGGTTCGCATAGGAGTTTGCAAATTTTGTTTAAACCAAAAATGAATAAAATGTTACTCCAGTATTTAACCAAATGATATTGTGCTTTTAAAAAAATGAAAAAAATCACGGTTGGGAAAATAAAATTACCATCTCTCGCGACTCGACTTTTGATCTTCCTGAATCCGGTTAGAAGACGACTCGAACAAATAGAGAGAACTCGATTATTCCAATCGACAGTCAGGTTAATGGAATCATGAGGAGATGCTTCTTTCGTATATATTTTCCTTATTTACAATGGTGAATTTTTAACCGTTGAGAATGATGAATTTCCCAATTTACTAAGAAGTATCAAATCTTTAACTCAAAATCTCTTACAAATAGATCATGGTTCCTCTCAAGTCTCAATCATAATCCATGAGTAATCTTTCTTGAAAATATGAACGTCTCTCTTTCAGTTTCTTTCTAAATTTTTGTCATTCTCTAATTTATTCTCGATCATATGCATGTTTCTCTTCTTGTCGGCTCTCCAGCTTGTGACCATCTCCAAATTTTCTTTTGCGCAAATTTGTTGAGGATTTACCTATGTATTTTGTGTAGAAGATAATTTGTTGATACAAGACTTTAGGCTATGGAGAGGAGGAGCGCATCAGCCTTATTCAAGTGTATGATCTCTTTTCCTTTATATGTGGCTCTATGGAGTAGATATAGAAGGTTGTCTTCCTTGTAGCTTGATCGAAAGAGGGTGCTTTTGATATGATTATCGTACTACAATTTTCAATGCGTATAGATTGTGTAGAAGTTGAATGTCGACTTGTTTACTTTCATTCATTTATTTCTAGTTTTTTTTACTTGAAATGTATATAAAGTTATAAACCATAATTCAACTCTTTCTTGCAAAAAAATCAAAGCTAAAATCTTGAATCTGTGTTCTTAATGAGAGGAACACGGATTCGACCGATGCTGAGATGTTTCTTTCTCTCCCTTGTAACGATGTATTCTTTCTAAATCGAATCGAACGATCTCTTCCAATACCATATCGGTTTCATTTATCTTCTTTTCTCCATCTTCAAGGCAGGAGATTAAGGGATATCAGAATCTATGAAAAGGTTTGCTTCTCCTGTGTCTCCATCGGTTTTATATTTCACTTGATCAGTCTTTTGTCTTGATCTATACAACATGATTCTATGGTTGTGTTTGTATGTATTCGATTGATGTGGAGGTGAAGCTAGAAGAAGATTCGGATTGTTTGAAGGAAAGTACCGGAAAGTCAGTTAGACACGGTCGACCAAGAACACTTGCTAAAGCTTCTTCTTCTTCTTTGTCTCCAAATTCTGCTATGTCTCAGTCGAGGAAGAGGAGAGAAGACGAAGATGTTTGATTTGTTTTCTTCGATGGTGGTACTCTTGCTCTCTGCGATCGTAGGTGAGTGAAGTTTGAGTTTAGTTAGAGAAGATACTTGAAGCTAAAATTTACTTGGTAGATTCGTGCTTCCAAGTATAGAAATTTTATGTTGTTTTGATTGATTTTTGCCTTCCTTAATATGTCAAGGGATGTCCAAAGGATTATCATCCAACTTGTGTTAAACGTACTAAAGCATTCTTCAGACCAAGAGCCTTTAGAAGTTGGGAAGCTGGAGAAGATTCAGAGGAATTATATTACGGCTTCTAAGGCAATGGATCGAGGAGGAGTTGAAACCTTAAATAGATTGTTTGAGTTGAGCAAAGGAAGCTAAAGTATGTTATCAAAGCTTTACTTGCGGTTAAAGTATACAAAATGATTGATCTATTTAAATCTTTTATTCTGTGTGTGTAGACTTGGAACCCAAAATCAAAATCAGAATCCACAATCTGCTGGAGAGTTGACGAAGCTAACGATGATGCAATCGATGAGTTCTTCGAGATTTTGATTGGGATTCCTCTGGTTCATGATCTCGCTGAAGGATTAGAACAACTCTTCTGAGAATACACCACTTTCGTTGCATCTTGTGGTTAAGTGTAAAAAAGACGAAAAGCATGTAAACGTGGTTTCTCAAAATCGCTCGATCTCTTTCGTTGTTAAGTGTTGAACTGTTGTGTCATCTGGTTTTTGAAGCTGGCACGATGCAGGAACCTATGATGCACAATTGAAAGACAGGTGAACCTACTGGCTCTATAAGGAAAGAAGAGTAATACACTCATGGTGCCAATAGTTTGAAAGTCTTTCTCGATCTCTATGGTGCCATAGAGTGGCTTTGTGTTTTCATCAACCATACTCGATTCTCTGTCTAATGGGTAAGAGACACCGTTGCTTGCGTCTATTTCTCTCCATGCCTTCTTTAATTTAATTGTTCATTGGTGCGCTGAGTTAAGATTCTGTTTTTGCTATTTGCTGATAGTTCATAGGATAGTACAATATTGGGAATGCTCAAATTTTCTACTTATTTTTAATAAGATTTCCTACTTGTTTGGGTAGGTGTTTAGAAAGTCATTCTTAAAAAAGTGAAAATTCTTCCTAAACTTATTTTTAAGAAAATATTTTCTACTTGTTTAGGAAGGTGTTTAGGAAGGCATTCCTAAACAAGTGAAAATCTTTCCTATTTTTTTTTTAGGAAGGTTTTCTACTTGTTTAAGAAGGTGTTTAGGAAGGCCTTCATAAACAAGTGAAAATCATTTCCTAAATTTTTTTTTAAAAAGATTTCTTAAACAAGTGAAAATCCTTCATAAATTTATTTTTAACAAGATTTTCTACTTGTTTAGGAAGGTTTCATACTTGTTTAGGAAGGTGTTTAGGAAGGCCTTCCTAAACAAGTGAAAATATTTTCTAAATTTTTTTTTAAGAAGGTTTCTTACTTGTTTAGAAATGTGTTTAATAATGCATTCCTAAATAAGTGAAAATCCTTTCTAAACTTATTTCTATGAATGTTTCCTACTTGTTTAGGAAGATCTTTAGGGAGGCCTTCCTAAACAAGTGAAAATCTTTCCTAAACTCTTTTTAACTTCCTAAACAAGTGAAAATCCTTCATAAATTTATTTTTAAAAATGTTTCCTACTTGTTTAGGAAGGTGTTTAGGAAGACCTTCCTAAACAAGTGAAAATCCTTCCTAAAATTCTACTTGTTTAGGAAGTTGTTTAAGAAGACATTCCTAAACATGTGAAAATCCTTCCTAAACTTATTTTTAGGAAGGTTTCCTACTAGTTAAAGTTAAAAAAGTATTAGTCATTTGTGTATTTTAGTTGATTCGCATATATGTAAACAAAATTTTGATTTGTTTTAACTTAAAGATCATTCTAAATTAAATAAAACTCAAAACTCAATAAAAAATCAAACCTTCATATAATTTTTAACATTAAACAACACATTAAATTTTTATTTTAATTAACATAAGATTTAGATAACACGTATTTTTTTTTTTAACAATCACCATATATTAAATCAAGTGGTTCCGCTTGGATGGTTTTCCTAACGGGTCACCCCAAACGGAAATATCTAACTTACATGGAAAATATATAACCTCGTGCTCGAACTCCCTTTCGAAGAGAGTCGGTCCGAACATTACCAGTACGTGATATATGAACTAAACTAAAATATATAAATGATTGTCTTCGCAGATTGAACCAATTAAGCTCCGCACTGAAAGATGACCAATTTAGTGGATGCGTGGTCATAGAGATCAGACTTGCCCAATCCGTCTCAATCCTCACTGAAAAGAGTCTCCTCTCATTTAGA